ATTTCTGAACCTGATATTTGTAATATTTTCTGAATTGATTCTTTTAAAAATTTGAAGATTGGTAGAGATACAAAATGAAGAATGACCCTGTTTCCTATCCCCAAGAGTGATTCCGTATATGTTATTGAATTTAAGTAAATTACTAGGGCGGGTGGTGTCCAGATAAATATATCGAATATGTTTTGAATTGTAATTAATAAGATTGGTGTATTTAACTATAAGATTGGTGATGTTGGATTTATATCTGTTTGAAAGTTGAAAATAAGTGATTTTTTTTTAATAATCGAATATTAATTCAAGAACGGTTTTTGTGATTTGGATTTTTCCATCTTTATGGGGATCGAATTCATAATCAATTCCATGAGTAACGATACTAAAAATATTATCAATACGAATTTGTTTAATGAAGGATAAATAATCAAAAAGAGGTTTTTCCATATCATCAAAGTGAGAAGAATAAATTTGAAATAAAATACTTTCTTTATCAGATAAATAATAATAAATTATTTTTTGTAAACTCGTATAGTTTCTTCCGACACATGAATAAAAAGGATCTTCCCACAAATAAGGAAGAGAAGCTACGGCAAATAATTTCGAAACCAAAACATAGTCTAAAAAATTTTCACGATCAATATAAATTAAAAATGAAAAGATTATTGAAAGAATTTCAAAAGATAATGATTTCATTTTATTTTGGTAATTTGAAAATTACATATTTTGATGGGTTTAAATATTCATACATTTATTAATAAAATTACAAATAAATTAAATTTCCTTTTTCTTTTCTATTGATAATAAAGTTACCACAGACAATCTGTTTACACAAAAACACATCATCTATTAAACAAAGAATATGCTTATTATTTTTATGGTTATGGTTATTATTTTTACATAAATCATATGTGACAATATCTGGTAAGAAAATACTCTCAGTATCTGTAAATAAATTCATGACAGAATTTTGTAGATATTTTTCTTCTTTACGTTTATCATATTCTTTTCGATTTTTGGATTTTTGTTTTTCGGATAATTTATGTAATGTTTTATTAATTGTTTTTTTGTTAACGTAACTATGTGTTTCATTTGTTTTGCTTATAAGATCGTTAAGAGATATGTTTAAATATTGGCATCTGTTAGTTATATTTTGAGTTACGTTAGGCATGTTGTTTTATTTTTCGTAAATTCAATATTGAAATATGTAAAATTTAGTATCTTTTTATTTATAATAATTTGATTAATAAATAATAAATAATAAATAAATAATTAAAGTTCATAAATGATGTTATCATGATATAAAATTTTTAATGAATCTAAAA